CTTGTAAAACTGCTCAAGAACAGTAAACATCAGAGGACAGTAAAGCATGGAAGAAATGCTGTAATATTATGGACACACAGTGCAGGGCTCACATCATACGCGGGGTTTCTAGGTAATTTCTTCTGCAGATATTTGCTGGAACAAGAATACTGAAATAAGATTCCATGATTATGTTCTAAAATTAACTGTTGAAGGAATGTTTGATACTGTAGACTGCCAAAGCATATCCAGTCCAAAACCCATTTCAGCTCATCTTTTGTATGAGTCCATAATTAGAGCTGATTCACGAGGACTCAGCAGAATAAAGAGCACAAAGAAATCCAGACCTGCCCAGTTAATTTTGTTTGTGAGCTTGAAATTACATCAAGCAGAATAAATGAGCTTGCTGATGTTGTTAGGAAGAGGCAGTTATTTTGATCTCGGGGTTTTGCTGCTCCTGTTGTATGAGATGTTGTAGACCGCAGAAATACTATAGCTATATTATCATGCAATGCTTGGAGACTGTAGGGTGTTATGTGGAGTCACTACATTCTGCTGTCTAGAAGTGGTGTACACTTTCCCTAATGGGTACTTAATTAAAGTGAACTTGCCATTGGAGAAACATGGGCCACCATTTGCTGACTTCTACCTGAAAATACTAGCTGACTGACTTTTGCTGACCAACTGATTTCAGTAATTCGAGTTACTGACCCATACTAAGTGCAGATCAGAAAAGTTAGAGAATAATCAGAACTCCTTATATTCATACATGTTCTGGATTATTGAATCAAAGATTTTAAGAAACTGTGCCAGCATGTCCTCCAGAGCTCCGCAACAAAGGTTTCTACAAAGCAACAGTGCACTACAAGTCCAGGTCCCAGCCTTCACAGGTTATATCAAATCGGATTCACGTTCAGTGATGGGCTGAATGGGCCATGCAACATAGGATCCTGAAGCTCTGAACAGTAGATCCGGGTAGATCAGCAGAGTTCAAACGATAAAAGAATTAATGGTTTGGGATCTCCATTAGCATGTAAATTTTATTTATTACAAATAAAAACATGGCACACTTACTTATACAATTTTTGACCTCCATCATAGGAATTGCCCCTTGGACACAGTCAGCCAGTAATCTGCAGCAAAGGAAGATGACTCATGCCGGCATGTGTAAAATCTGACACTGACCGCTGTTGGCAGACCTCCTGAGTTCAGTGCCCTGCAGTACTATGCACTGCCTGGTGGCAATCCCTAGGTGATACTGGGATGTGTGGGTGGTGTCAGTGTCAGATTATACACATACTGGCATAAGTCTCCTCTTCCTTTGCTACAGATTACTAGTTGACTGTGTCCAAGTGGCTCTTCCTATGCCGATGTCAAGAATTGTATATGTAAGTGTGCTATGTTTTTATTTGTAATAAATGGAATTTACATGCTAATGGAGATCCCATGCTATTCTTTTATCGTTCGAGCTCCGCAACAGCTGCCCCCAGACCAAGCTGTGTTGGCATTGATATGGAGGCTGGGAGCTCCCTGATCACTGGAGCACTGTAGGTGAGTGGATTTTCTAATTGTACCTGCAGCAATAATTGTACAGTACTGGTAGAGAACATGGTTACTGAAGAGAGAGTGAGTTGGAGTAGAAACAAGTGATATAGTGTAAATCTACTACCACCACCAATGCTACCTTTCATCTACTGCCTGAAGCCTGTATGTGGTGAAGTTGGGGGCGATCTGCATTGAACTACTGGATGGTGAACAAGGTGATCAGACTTCCACCACACAGGAAGCGGGCTGAGGTGAGTGATCTTTCTAATGAGGTAATAGATGCCTTAGAATGGCAGAGGACAACCTATTCAGTGACTTTATGGAACACATGGGTGTAAGGTGTGGGGAAAAAAATGAAGTGCAGGCCTACATTTATGTCGCACATCATGAAGCTTCATGCACACTTGAGCTTAACAACGCTACTTTTACAGGCATTTTGAGCTTTTCTTCACTTTTTTTTTTTTTCCCCGCGCTATGCCTCGAAACATTCCTCCATGTTAACTTACGGTGCATCCAGAAAATATTTGCAGCGCTTAACTTTTGCCACATTTTGTTACAGCCTTATTACAAAATGGATTAAAATTCATTTTTTTCCTCCACATTCTACAAACAATACCCCATAATGACAAAGTGAAAAGTTAATTTTGAAATCCTTGCAATTTTATTAAAAATAAAAAGCGAAAAAAAAAAACACATACATAAGTATTCACAGCCTTTGCCATGACACTCAAAGTTGAGCTCTGGTGCATCCTGTTCCCACTGATCATTCTTGAGATGTTTCCACAACTTGATTGGAGTCCACCTGTGGGAGATTCAGTTGATTGGACATGGTTAGGAAAGGCATAAACCTGTCTATATAAGGTCTCACACTGTGCATGTCAGAGAACAAACCAAGCCGTAAAGTCCAAGAATTTGTCCGGACCTCCGAGACAGGATTGTATCAAGGCACAGGTCTGGGGAATGGTACAGAAAAAGATCTGCAGCATTGAAGGCCCCAATGAGCACAGTGGCCTCCATCATCCGTAAATGGAAGAGGTTTGGAACTACCAGGAATCTTCTTAGAGCGGGCTGCCCGGCCAAAATGAGTAATTGAGGGAGAAGGGCCTTAGCCAGGGAGGTAACCAAGCACCCGATGGTCACTCTGAAAGAGTTCCAGCGTTCCTGTGGAGAGAGGAGAACCTTCCAGAAGAACAACCATCTCTGCAGCACTTCACCAGTCAGGCCTGTATGGTAGAGTGTCCAGACGGAAGCCACTCCTCAGTAAAATGCAAATGGCAGCCCGCCTGGAGTTTGCCAAAAGGCACCTGAGGGACTCTCAGACCATGAGAAACAAAACTCTCTGGTCTGATGAAACAAAGATTGAACTCTTTGACCTGAATATCAAGCGTCATGTCTGGAGGAAACCAGGCACCGCTCACCATCTGGTCAATACCATCCCTACAGTAAAGCATGGTGGTGGCAGCATCGTGCTGTGGGGATGTTTTTCAGCGGCAGGAACTGGGAGACTAGTCAGGATTGAAGGAAAGATTGAATGCAGCAATGTACAGAGACATCCTTGATGAAAACCTGTTCCAGAGCACTCTGAACCTTTTAGACTGGGGTGACTGTTATTTGGACTCTGTGCTTAGGGTCGCTGTCCTGTTGAAAGATGAACAAAGGAGTGGCTACGGGCCAACTCAATGTCCTGGAGTGGCTCAGCCAGAGCCCCGACTTGAACTTGATGGAATATCTCTGGAGAGATCAGAAAACGGCTGTGCACCGACGCTCCCCATCCAACCTGATATTCATTTATTCTGGCCATTGAAATGAAGAAAAACATCCAAGTGGTTGACACGCCTAAACGTGTTTTTTGCCGCTGCTTTACTCTTGCCTGTAGAAAAGCCCCAGTGTTCATGAAGCATAGAGGACCAGTTATAGCAGGACTCGCAGTAAGGCCCCTTTTCACACAGGTGATCCAATTATTTGGGTTGGTTTTTCAGGCAGACCTGATCGAATGGTCCATGCATCCCTATGAATTGGCGGGTGTAAACTGACTTGTCCATTTACACCTACCTACCTCAAATCCAATTTCAGTTCGCAAAAAAAAAACCAAAACTGAACGGAATCCACCCCCTCCATCTAGGCCGATTGGATCCGGATGGCAGTCGCATGTAACCAGACAGCTGAGTATTGCCTGTCAAACTCCGCATGCCAAGTTAAATTTGTCATGGCTGTGGTATGTGTGCAGTTCCCCCTGGCTGCAGTGTTTGTTTTTAGGTGCAAGATGTTAAGCCCTAAATAATTATCATCTTCCTAGGACAGAATATCTTTATAGTGTTGGTAGGTAGGTAGCTTGAGTATACCACATGGAATATTGCTCTTCGGAGTCTCCCACATGCTTTCCAAGAAAAGAAAAAAAATAAATAATAAAAAGCGAAGCGTTATCTGCTGTCATAGCTGAGCAGGTCTGGACTAAGTGGAAGAATACAGCTGACAACCCAATTTTTACTGATTGGTACACTGACATTTTAAATCTGACTTCAAGGCTTCTTGCAGATGTATAGGAATGGTTCACAAAGTATATGTCAGTAATTAGGAGTTGTATTTCTGAAATTTGTCAGTCAGGTCTTCTTCAGACCTTCGTGTGCTGGGAGCACATGCAGAAATGTGCTTCCCTGGAAATGTGTGTAAGATGCACATTGTGCATGTGGTTCCTTTTTTATTTCTTAATGACACCTCAAACAAAGCGCAGCTTGGAATCTCGCATTTTGCAGGGTGACACAATTCGCTGTTAACAAACATGCCAAGATCTGCTCCTGAAAAAGCTACAGGAGCTACTTTGATGCGCATAGGGCAGCCCATTCATTTTGGCGTGCAATAGAAACACAAACGCGCTAATGTGCATTGTGCAGGTGGAATGGGGCCTTTTTTTTTTATTGTAGCCATTTTAAATGCAGACAGTGTAGTAGAGTTTTTCACTGAAATGTGGGTATTACTGTACAAAGTTGTTGCAGTGCTCTTCTTCCCCTTGTTACCAATCAGAAACGCCACTGGTTCCAATAGTTTAGGCCTGGTTACTGGAAGGTCAGTTTGCTTTTAGGCAACTCTTCAATGAGTATTGGCAACAAGTGTGCCAGGTCTCATGTAGACAGGTATACAGTGAGGGATGTGCCAGACAGTTTTTAGAAAGACCTGAAAATCGGTTTTATTTAACTGTGCATTCAGTTGCAGCCCACCCTTATGTAGCACTGCTTCTCCCATTGTCTAATACTTGCATTAATGATGCTACAATATGTTTCCACTCTACACATGCAGAAAGCTTAATATGCTCCCGTGATCATAGTAGGGTACATTTACAGATTGATTAGGTCATGTCTTTACGAAATAAAAATCCATGGCCACACATGTATTGGCAGTTCTGTATTTGCTGAAATCTAGATATCAGTTGTTGGGTAAGATTGTCACCCTGGTTAATGTTGTTTTCTTCTGTCTCACAGGTTTATGTGTTCACAGTTGCCCAATCAGGTTCTCCAAAGTATCAGCATCATCGATTCTCCTGGAATCCTCTCTGGAGAGAAGCAACGTATTAGCAGAGGTTGGTACAGATAACTTTGGGTGATCACACTAGACTGCCGAGTTGAAACATGACCATAAGTTGCCATCACTTTTGGCAGGACTCGCCTGCCTAGGCCAATACAAAAGCATTTGCATAGTTGGTTAAGTTGAAATTAGAAAGTGTGTGTGTGTGTGTGTGTGTGTGTGTTTTTTTTCAGTCATTCTGGCAGGGGGAGCTTAGCATTATTCTCACCTGCTTACTGCTGCAACTCCTGTTTTTTGGAAGTTTCTTTCTACAAGGTCTTTTGTAGGCCTGCTTTGCCTTGAACAGATCAAGGACTTGTGGGGTGGAGGACTGCTTCTGTAGGACCGCTGCCTGGCTACGTAAAGTAGATCTTTGGTCTGTCTGTGTGTATGTCTGGTGAGTCTATTTGGCTTGCTACATGCCCATGTTGCATCTCCATGGCTTTAAGTTTGTGAGATGAGCTGTCCTGGATTGATGATGCAGGAGGCAGCCATACACCTGAGGCAAATCATAATGTGCTTTCATGTCTTCCATGGACCTAGTTTACATAGCATGTCTTCATCCTCAAACCTGCAATTTGGAATTGTGACTGGATCTCCTGAAAACAAATCCAAATGCAAGTAAACCTGATACAGGTGCTTATTAATCATGCTGTCAAAGATTTAACTGGCTACAGATTGGCCTGTCTCTTTGTGTCATAATATTGCTGGTTCAGGCTAACACTGCGTTACTTTTTGTAACAAAGAGGTTTGCTTCATATTGCAGAGATTTGTTTATAAGTGGGTCTTTTAGCAACAGGGGCGTGCCTGCCACATATTTCAGTTAAAGAAACTGTTGTCACTGTTTGGTTTCACTTTGTACACGCCTTCTTTCAGTGTAACATTCTCTGCAGTCTTTTAAATAGATTGCTAATACACCATATTGCCAAAAGTGTTGGAACACCCCTCCAAATCATTGGATTCAGGTGTTCCAATCACCTCCATGGCCACAGGTGTATAAAATCAAGCACCTAGGCATACCGACTGCTTCTACAAACGTGTGAAAGAATGGCTCGCTCTCAGGAGCTCAGTGAATTCAAGCATGCTACCGTGATAGGTTGCCACCTCTGCAAGAAGTCCATCCGTGACATTTCCTTGCTACTAAATATTCCTCGGTCAACTGTTTGTGGCTGAGTTGCTGTTGTTCCCAGTTGCTTCCACTTTGTTATAATACCACTAAGTGGTAGGCCATGTAAAATGACAGAGCGGGGTCAGCGTATGCTGAAGTGCACAGTGCGCAGAAGTCACCAACTGTCTGCAGAGTCAATAGCTAAACACCTCCAAACTTCATGTGGTCTTCAGATTAGCACAACAGTGCGTAGAGAGCTTCATGGAATGGGTTTCCATGGCCAAGCAGCTGCATCCAAGCCTTACATCACCAAGTGCAGTGAGTGTGTTCTAATTGGATGGTCTATCTACAAAGTACCAAAATCATATTTATGGAAAACAATATCGGTTTGGCTGTGGGTTGATTGGTCAGCTCTCACCCCAGTACACACCCTACAGAGCAGATACTATGTACTGTATATGTACTGTCTGATGCTTTGCCAGCCTCTGACTGCAGCGGTCTTCAGTTGTTCTTTATGGGTCTTTCTGCCTTTACTTTTGCCTTCAGCAAGTGAAATGCATGCTCAATTGGGTTGAGATCAGGTGATTGATTCGGCCATTGGAGAATATTCCACTTCTTTTCCTTCAAAAGCTCCAGGGTTGCTTTTGCAGTGTGTTTTGGATCATTGTCCATCTGTACTGTGAAGCACCGTCCAATCAATTTTGCTGCACTTGGCTGAATCTGGGCTGACAGTATATCTCTAAATACTGCAGAATTCATCCGGCTGCTTCTGTCTTCGGTCACATCATCAATAAACATGAATGACCCAGTGGTACTTGCTCGGACCGGATTTTTTTATTTATTTATTTATTTATTTTTACTATTCATATATTTTATGATTTTTTTTTTTTTTTTTGGGTTTGTCCTATCTTTTGCAATTTGTTTTTTTTTTTTTTTTTTTTTTCTTTCAATTTTTTTATATTTAATAAGTTCTTTTATTATAGGTGTTTTTTTTTTTTTAAGCTTTGGCCGTAAGCCACATAGGTTTACTTTTTAGCCTTTTAAACTTGTTACATATGGGGTATTTTGCAGTGTGTTCACATAGTCCCCTTTTTTTTTTTTTTTTTCTGTGTTTGTGTTCATCGATGCCAATATTCCTCCCAGTCTAAGTGTTGGAAAGCAGCTCTCAGCCTTGGAAAAATTAGCTCTCTTAAAGTTGAGCATTTTTTATTCCGGTATGCACTTGTTTACAGCAAACAAATTACACCATGTTATGGTCCCTGCTACCCAGATGTTCCTTTTTTATATGGACATTAGTATTAAGCTCTGCATGGTTTGAGATTACCAGGTCCTGCAGAGCATCATTCCTAGCTGGGGCCTCTATGAACTGTACCATAAAATTGTCCTGTAGTAGGTTTATACATTTATTTTGCCCTTTTAACTGTTGCTGTAGTGCCATTACTCCCAGTCAATGTCAAGGTAGTTAAAATCCCCCATTATTATCACTGTCCCAGCCCTTGCAGACCTTTTTGATCTGTGCAAATAGCTGAGTCTCCACCTCATTAACAGTAAATGGCTTATAACAAACTCCAACAATTAGCTTTTGTAGTACACACCCCCCATGTGCAGTTCCACCCATAATGCTTCAACCTCATCACACCTTCCATCAACTAGGTCCTCTTTCACACTCGCTCTGAGATCACTTCTCCACATAGACAGACACCACCACCTTTCCTTTTTACCCTGTCTCTCCAAAAGAGAACATAGCCAGGAATATTAATGGACCAGTCATGTGAAGAATAAAGCCAAGATTCAGTAATACCAATTAAGTCCTAGTTCTCTCCATGCACCAAAGCTTCCAACTCACCTATTTTTGCTTGGCAGACTTCTGGCTTTGGTGGACAAACCTTTTAATTAATTGACACCTTGTGCACACGCATTTTGCATATTTGTTTTTATTTTCGTACAAATGTTACCAATTCCAGTGGTTGTTTGTAACATGGTCACCTTCTTATCACCTGTCATAGCCCTCAACCCATCTTTCTCCATTCCACCCACCAATAAGGACCCGTCTGATCTGTCTGCCCCATTAGAATCTAATTCTCCCTCCCCCCTCTATCCTAGTTTAAATACTCCTCCAGCCTTCCCATAAACCTCTCCCCCAGCAGAGCAGACCCCCTTCCATTTAGGTGCAAACCATCTCTAGCATACAGGTTGCACCCCAATGAAAAGGCAGCCCAGTGCTCTAGAAACCAGGGATGCACCGAAATTTCAGCCACCAAAACATACCGGCCGAAAATAGCTCTATCGGCATTTAGCCGATACAGGGGACTGTGTGTACTGCAGATGTGAGGGGGGGGGGCTGAGAAAGGAAGGAGAGGAGCAGTGTATACAGTGACTGGCTGTCACTATCTCAGTGCTGGTTTTTAAATGTAATTACCGACTTTTTTTTTTCTTCACTATAGCTCACAGAATCAGCTGTCACTTCCCCCCCCAGCTAAAAGAAACTGTTTCCTTTTAGTTTATTTCCGGAGATAAAAAACAAAGCTCTGAGGAAAGTGACAGCTAATTCTGTGAGCTATAGTGAAGAAAAAAAAAAAGCTGGTAATTGCATTTAAAAACCGGCACTGCTCCCTCACTGTATACACTGCTATTCTCCTTGCACACATTGCCCCCCACCACCTCCCCCTACAAAGAGGATCTGTCACTCATATGCTATCACATAGGGCACTATTGGTCCCCTATGTGATAGCAATAAAATCATAAGTAAAAAAAAATAAAAATACACATGAAAGTAGAAAAAAAAAAATGGAGCCTCCCCACCCCCACATACATAGAAGTTTCTGTTTTCGGCAACATGCATTCTGAAATTTCGGTATCTGTTTCGGCATCAGAATTTTTCATTTCGGTGCACCATTACTAGAAACCCAAATCCTTCTCTCTTACTCCAGGCCTTTAGCTATGCACTTAGTTCTCTAATCTACCTGTCTTTCCTGAGTTGCGCATGGCACAGGTAATATTTCAGAGAATATCACCTTGGAGGTCCTTCCCTTCACCTTGCAGCCTAGTTCTTTAAATGGATTCTTAAGGAGCTTCCACCTTCCATGTTTTCTGTCATTGGTTCCAACATGGACCAAGACAGCTGGGTGATGCCCAGCCCCTCTCAGTAATTAACCCGATCCAGCACATGCCAAACCCTGTTCCCAGGGAGACCGCAAACCATTTGGTTAAGGCGATCCTGGCGACAAATTATTCTGTTGGTGGTAATATTCCTTCTGATTATAGAATCCCCTAACTGTCTAGGCCTTCCTACACTACCCTCACCACCCCTCCCAGATGGTCTGCTCTCCCGGCTGTTAGGACTTCGATTTGACTTGTGCCCATAGAAGTAGTACAGGAACCTTTTCTAAAGTCGGAGCAACTTCAGTAGTGCTAATTAAAGTGTTACTAAACTCACAACCGTAAAATCAGTCTGTATATGCAGTAAAGCATGTCTGTTATACTCGCTGTGGAACCTAAGGGGTTAATCCACATTGTGTAAAAAGGATGTTTTGATCCTGCCTTCTCTGATTCTCCCCTTCTTCCACAGTCCCCAAATCATCTCCTGATAGAACAGAGCCTCAGGGGCAAGCTGCATATGCTCAGTGTGGCGTGTATTGCTAGAGAGGTGTGTTTTGTCAAAAAAGCGGGTCAAGGGTCTGTAGCCTCATAGGGGAGAATGAAAACGCCTCCTACAAGCTTTAACCAGTGCTCTGCTGCACACTGTTAGAAGTCACAAGACTGCTCTAACTGCTGATGAGAAAAGGTATTTGGCAGTTTATATTTACTAAAATAATTGAATTTCCATGTTCTGTGTACTGTGGGAGAGCAGATATAGTAAATGCAGGTTCCTTGGTTTAGTAACGCTTTAAGACAGCTCTCATTGACGA